TGAAGGGGGCGTTTTTTTTGCGATAGCTCCAAACACGCCGGCGATAGAGAGCTGAAACTTGGCATAGGTATGTACAGGGTCTTTCATAATGAATGTTACTTTTGAACATTTAGTTAGGAGCTCTTAATTTATCACTTCCGCGTGAATTTTATATGCGTATTGTTGCAAATTGATTAGGGTTTTGTCCCAAAAAATAAAAAATTCACAACGCCAATTTTCCTTCACGGAAAAGCAGAGTATGTCGACACCACTAAAACGCATTACGGATTACGGTCGACGGACAAGTCTTCATCCATTGGCTCTCCCCTGGGTCAACACTGAACGGGGTGATTTACCTCAGGCTGCTCAAAGAATGCTTCTGCCTCAGGTCAGGGACAAGGTTCAAAGAGACGACCTGTGGTTCCAGCAGGATGGTGCCACAGTGCACACCATGGCAGCTGTTGCGCCAGTGGCTGATCGAGAATTTCGAAGAGCGCGTTATCAGCCGCCTCACCGAGCGACCATGGCCACCACGGAGTCCTGACCTCTCCCCGCTGGACTACTGGCTTTGGGGAGTCGCATTGGCAGATCTGAGACAAAACCCTCCTGCAGCCATCCACTGCGAACCACAGTGGAGAGGTTTGCTGGAAGCCTGGACCCAGACGTTGTGAGGCGCGGGGTGCGACACCTTCGTCAGAGGGCCGAAACGTCTGCCTTAATTAAGGGCGATACAGTGGAAAATTCCTGAGGAGCATTAAAATGAAAGTTGTGTGTGCAAAAACGCTAATGTGTTTCTGTTTCATGTGATGGTACATATTACATGAGGAACATATATGTCCTGAGAAATAGCTTTTTCAAAAGTAACATTCATTATGAAAGACCCTGTATGTACCTGACCTTGGATTCAAGCCGGATCTTTTGACACCAATCGCACTTTCGGGTCAGGTCAGGTCACTGACTGATGACGTCATAAATGAACCTCTGCACGGTCTTAACCCTCGCATGTGTGCGGCGTTTGCCAGCTTCTAATGTGTAGGGGGGGGGGGTCGGTTGGACCCCCCCTTGCCGTTTGGCCCCTGATCGAGCTAGAGCTTCGCGGAAAAAAACGAGCGTGTTGCCCGTGACGAGAGGAAGCCAGCCGATGATACCCAATTTTAAGGTCCTAGGTCATTGGTTGACCTTCCAGGTCAGGTCAATGACCCAAAGTCGGGAAAATCGGGACCTATTAGAAAGTCGTATAGTGTGGCTGCTAAGGGGTTTTTCGGGGTGCTGATCACGAATATCGTGTTAGTTTTGATCACAGATGATGTCTTTAAGCATTTAGACCAGGTCGGGTCAGGTCAGGTCAGGTCAACCAGTAGGCGTCGTGACGGGTATTCGTAGTACGTGTCAACCGCCTCTGACAGCTTCGTAACATGTTACGAAGGCACCAAAACTGCTTCGTAAATGTTCAAATGGTTGCTAAATTCGAATTCAGCTCCAAAAACTAGCCTAGAAACATGTAAAACTCGAAAAAGTGAACCGAGGTCACCCGAGGTCACCAAAGGTCAATGACCTGACCTGACCTTCAGGTGACCTTGACACCCACCCTAATGCATGGGAGTAACATCAAATCACATGTTTGAACGTTTGAAACCACGAAAAGCTTGCAAACGCGCGGCTAATGCGAGCCGACATACGCGGAATCGCGATTCCGGCCAAACATGGTCTCGGAAAAGAGGTCACAGGTCAAAGGTCATTTGGGTCAGGGTCATGAAATTTTCAGGGTCGGTGTAAAATTGATGAATGCGAGGGTACTGAAAGTTTCGTCGCGATCGACCGCTTTTTACGCGAGTTATTCGCGAAAAACCATGGGGGGGTCCATCCGACCCCCCCCCCCCTACACATGCGAGGGTTAAGACGTTGCAACTTCGCAACGCCCTCACTGCCAGAGGAGCTTTCACAGGGAGATGAAACTTGCAGGACCTGGCATCCATAAGGTGTCTCACAAATTGTGTATTTCGGATTTTTCTAAAGATCATATGAGGTCAGGTCATTTTCGTGACCTCACCATTTAAAGTGAATTGGGGAAAATGCATACAGAATCGTGATATCATGCACTTATTGCAAGGTTCGATGCGTTACTTTTGCAATGTTGACCTGGCGTGACGTCATTTATGATGTCATTAGGGTCATAGGTTTTCTTCAGTAACTCCCGATCAAATTGAGCTAGCGAGTCGGGAAAGCCACCAATAGATTCAGGAAGACCTGCTGAATCGAATGATATACGACGTGATCTCCTTCGACCAATTTGGTGACCTGGGGGCGCTGACCTGACCGTGACCGAGGTCAACACCCTAGGTTGACCTCACCCAAACAAAAAGTATATGATTCGACGTGCCTGAGCGACGGCGAACACGATGCTGCCAAAATCGCGGCTCTGCGGCCGTTTTTTGCGAAGTTATTCCATCGAAAACGGAACCTTCCTTGGAGCACTTGACCTGACCTCAGAGGTCACCGGTTGACCTAGGAACTTAAAATCGGGTATCAATCTCTGCATCTTGTAACGGCACACACGTTCGTTTTTTTCCGCGACGCGCTAGCTCCACCAGGGGCGAAACGGCGAGGGGGGTCGTTATAGCCCCCCCCCCTCGGCCGGCGCGTTTGTAGAAAACCAATAGGTCCGGCGATGGATATACAGTATGCAGTGTACAGCTGTATACAGTAGCACCCCGTAGTTAAAAAGTAGTAGGAACTCGTCCATATTCCGTTATATGAACAATAATTGTCAGGCTCGCAAACAAGCATCTTTGTCGTGACGAAAGGAAGGCATTTCAAATAGATTGTAAATTTAGCAAATAACGCTGGTTATCTTTGTTGGTAGGTAATAGGTATGCAATACTGCATTAAGTATTTTTAGTCTTTTGGCGAGGCAAGCCGGTCCCGTGCTCAGTTGGTAGAGCGTTGAACTCCAAGTGGTGAGAGCACGGGTTCGCGGCTAAACAGTCCGGGTTCGAAGCGCGACGGACGCTTGACGTTTATGGGCCTCCTGACAGGTATGCTTGCAGTTGGTGGCAGACCGTAACCAGACGAAGTCAGCGAGGGTCCGGCCGTGCGCGGCTATGCGCGCACATTAAACTTTGGACTCTAAATTCTGTCATAGAACTGGAATTTGACGATCGGAAGGTAGAGGGCAGGGTCACTGCAACAAGCTTCGCTTAGCGGTGGCTCTGTCCCTGTGAATCCTTCCTTTTGATAACCTTTTGATAAAAGGTTCGGACTAAATTTATAAATAGAAAAAAGAAAAGCTTTCAAGTTCTATCATCTTTTACTGTCGACTGTTAGATTGCTATTGCAAGTGCCTTTAACCCACGCCGTGCTGGTGGCCTGAACTTCCCGCCGAGTGCTGGGGGAAGGGGACGTTTTCACGCCCCCGTCTAACTTGGCTCCTGGGCCACGTAGTTTCGGTGATTTTTAATTTCAGGTCAAAGGTCAGGTCACCAGAGGTCATCAAAGGTCAAATTTAGTCCATTTCAATAATTTTGGAAACTGCCACCGGCTAACTCGGGAACCAATACAGCTACAGCGCCGCGGAAAAGCGCATTCGATAGCCCTTTTACATACCTTTCTGAATACGTAATGATCTCAGATCTGACATCAGGTCAACGGTTTAGCCTCCAGAGGGCAAAAACTGTAAAAATAGCCGTTTTCCCGAACAATGTTTTTCGGCAATAACTTTTGACTCAAAAGAGTCACGACTTTACTTTTGGCAGCACCGTTGGCAGCAGCACATTTTTTTTTAATTTGACCTTAGGTCAAGGTCATGACCTGACTGGAAAGGGTCATGCTGCATATCAGGCGATCCGTATGGTCGAGCTGAACACAGCTGACGTGTTTTCACCGCTCTAGCACGTCTCTATCAAACGTTATGGCCACAAAACTGCTGGTGATCGTTCATGACCTGAGATGATCTCAGGGGCATACAGAGGGGTCACAGGTGTAGTTTTCCGATTCAGTGTGTTATGTTTACGAAGGAACCGATGTTTGAGAGCATTGAACGACATTCGTCCAAAAGAGGCACATTTCAATTTTCTCCCATTGACTTATGGTCACTTGACGTGACCTGGTGACCTGACCTTGAAGAACCGGGTCTGAGATTTTCACAACATGTGCGGAAATGATGTATGAACAGGTGTACCAAAAACGAGATATTCGCAAAAAAACCTGACGGGGGGACGTAACCCCCCCCCTCAGCACAGCGCGGGTTACGCCATGATAAATGTATGGGCCCTTTTCACCATAGGCTCCTTTCACTATGCATGGGCCCTTTTCACCCTAGTACCCCACAGTCAAAAATTCGTGGCGCCGCCCCTGCAGCGAGCCATCAATCCCGATGAGGCGAAGTTTGGTCAATAGTATGCTGTGGTTCACAACATCAAAGGCCTTGCTGTAGTCAAACAGGATTACATCAACTGTGCTACCATCATCCAGTGCCTGTGAAACATCATTGTACACCAGTAGCAACTGGTCAACGGTGGAGCGCCCCGGGCGGAATCCAAACTGGTGATCAGACAAGACACTCAAGACAGTGTGTTCCTCCAGGTAGCTGTGGACATGGGCACATATTAGTCTTTCCATGGCCTTGCAAGACACTGATCATTGGTCTGTGTGTCTTTCTGACTAGCCTTTGTCATTGGTCTGTGTGTCTTTTCTGACCGGACAGTGTTAGTGATCTGTGTGCCTTTCTGACCGGACTGTGTTAGTGGTCTGTGCGTATTTCTGACCGGACTGTGCCAGTGGTCTGTGTGTCTCTCTGACCGGACTGTGTCAGTGGTCTGTGTGTATTTCTGACCGGACTGTGTGAGTGGTCTGTGTGTATTTCTGACCGGACTGTGTCAGTAATCTGTGTGCCCCCTGACTGTTTGTGTCAGTGCTCTGTGTGTATTTCTGACCGGACTGTCAGTGATCTGTGTGCCTTCCTGACCGGACTGTGTCAGTGGTCTGTGTGCCTCTTTGACCGGACTGCGCCGGCCGTGTTTCAGGTGCGGCAAAACTACATCCGGCGACGGCTGCAGATCACGTTCAGGGCGCTGCAGCGACTCTCTCAGAGCGAGCTGAGCCTGGAGCAGCTGCTGAGCGGAGAGCTGCTGAGCCTGGAGCAGCTGCTGAGCGGAGAGCTACCGCCCGGCTGCTGCGGCTCCGCGGCCGGCGCCGCGCCGGCAGCCGCCCGGGACAGCGCCAGCACCGCCGCCGCCACCGCCGTGGCCGCTGCCGCCGCCGCCACCGCAGCCCCGGCGGCCGCGGCGCCCCCGCGAGCCGTCACCGTGCGCCAGGTGGACCGCGAACGGGGCCAGCCGCTCACCCGGTTTCAGCGCAACATGATGGTATTTAACTGGCTGCAAGCACTGGAGGACGACGGCGCAGAGCTCACCGTGGCGTAGGCGGGGCGCACACTGCTGTGATCACTGAGCGGGACAGCGGCGCCCGGTGAGGGGACAGCGGCGCCCGGTGAGGGTATACTCGTACAACGGCGCCCGGTGAGGGGACAGCAACGCCCGGTGAGGGGACAGCGGCGCCCGGTGACGGGACAGCGCCGCACCAAACCGAAAGCCAAACTCGACTGTGCGTTTATGCTGGGCTCAAGGTGGAGAGGACTTCACTCCTCAGGTTGTGTGTAGAGGTGAACCGGTGGTGCTAGGGTGCTAGAGCTGAGTACAAGGTTCGATGTGCCGCAGCGGCCGCTGGGTCCACCTCCCTACCGCGTCCCTCCTTCCTTCCTTCCTCGGTGATGGAACTGCCGGGACTTGTCGGGGCCTGCTTGTCGCTGAATTCTTCCATAATTAGGCGGTGTTTGTGCCAGACTCTTTTTAACTATAGTGGGGATGTTTCCTATCGACAGCCTTTTATATATGAAGTCCCTTGCAAAGGTGTCCACTGCCATACCTGTTGAATTTCACGTTGACACAATCACAAGATTGTCGAATCTGTACCTGAGTGACGCTTACAAATATGACCAATAGCTAAAATTTCTTGAAAAAAAATTCCAAGAAGCCAACGCATAACTCGAGAACCAATAGAGCTATAGCGCCGCGGAAAAGCGCATTCGATAGCCCTATTAACGCCCTTTCTGAGTAATTATCTCAAATTTGACCTAACGTCAACGGTTTTGCCTGCAGGGGGCAAAAACTGCAAAAATAGCCGATTTTTTCGGAAACAGTTTTTCTGCAATAACTTTTGACCCAAGCCTTGTACGAGCTTACTTTTACCGGCATCGTGTTCCTCTCGTCAAGACGCATCGAATGAACTATAACTTGACCTTGAAAGGTCAACTTGAAAATTTGTCCTCAGGTCAAGGTCATGACCTGACCGGAAAGGGTCATGTTGCATATCAGTCGATCCGTATCGTCGAGCTGAACACATCTAAGGCGTTTTCATCGCTCTAACATGCCTCTATCAAAAGTTATTTGCGAAAAACTGTCAGATACCATTCGTGACCCAAGATGACCTCAGGGCATAAACAAGGGTCACGGACACCATTTTCATGTTCTGTGTGTCTAAACCACTTGTAATTCGGTGTTTGGGAGTGTTTATAATGTCTTTCGTCCAAAAGAGGCGCATTTGAATTTTCTCCCATTGACTTATAATGGGGAGGTCGCAAAATTGACCTGACCTTAGGTCATCGATATCAAAATTCTGAGATATACATTTTGTACATGCTATTGCTCTTAGCAATCACTGAAAGTTTCAAAGCGATCGGTCACTCGGTGTAGCTATGACAGACATTGAAACTTTTTCTGAGGTGAGGTCACTTCAAGCGACCTGGTGACCTGACCTTGAATGACCTTGGTCTGAAATTTTCACAACATGTGTAGAATTGATGTATGATAAGGTGTACCAAAAACGGCGGCGATATTCGCGAAAAACCACAAGGGGGGGGTGTTCAAACACCCCCCTTAGCAGGGCGCGGGTTAAGGATGGAGAAGGACGACAGAAGAGAAGAGGCACCTCTTCGAAGAGGTGCCGCCACCTCCTTTAGGATGGAGGACGACGAAGGGCACCTCCTCGAAATTGAGCACCTCTTCTTTTAGTATTTTACACGTGCAGTGGGGGTCACTCACATAGATCAAGAGTATCCGACCTTTGGTAGAAGGGATGCAGCTACCCTACAAAAATTACCGCAAGACAATCGTCCAAGTTGCTGCTGAGATATGAGCCTGTCAAAATCACTACTTTTGCAAAACAGCTTGAACACCCTTGACTTTTCACGTGGCAACTGGCACGTGCCACGACGGTCACTGAGATGTGTCAAGAGTAGTCAATTACGGGGTAGAAGGGATGGGGCTACCCAGCAAAAAAGACCGCAGGCCAATCGGTCCAGCGGTTGCTGAGATATAAGCCTCTCAAAAGCGTTACAGGCCGGGCCGGGCCGGGCCGGGCCGCTCATACTGGGATTTTTCCGTTACGAGTATATTGGAAAGACTTCGCTTCGCTCGCTGCGCTCGCTCGCTCGTAATGACAGCTAAAATGACAACAATATAAGCAGTAGGCACCTACGCAATCGCCTTTCTATCTAACGCGTCTAATACGACACATGGCTGACGTTTTGGACTCCCGAATGCTAAAAGGAAGCGGGTTCCAAGCGGCCCAAAAATATAACTAAACCACATTTCACATATGCGATCGCACATTGCTACTCCTGCTTTTGTGTCAATAAACTCATCAACGAGAATGCTGTCGACTAGTCACAAGTGTACAACTCTACACAATACGCTCGCCTATGTCACAGGACGCATGTGGCATCATTTCGCGTTAATTATCCGGGAAACTCAGGTGTCTCTGATCGGTGGTTGCTGTCAATATCGTCGCGTTCCTATCTGTAGGTGTGCTCGAATGTAAATATGTCAATTTCCTATTACTATCCATCGGAATGTTTTGTATGCATTAACCTATCTTACCTGTATTGTGATTTGATGCTATGACTTTTTACATTTCATTGAGCAGTGGAAAGGTGTGCGTGTTTGTTAGCGGCGACACAGTTATGTGGTGTGGGGTTACTACTCCGTTCAGCAACATGCCTTAACAGGTAGGATTAAGTTTGTGGCTGAAAATGGTGGCAATGCTTCAAAAGTCGATGTCTTGGTTAGTTTCCTGCAGCGTGTGTCTTGTTTTTGCTGTTGTCGCTTGAGACGAATAATCGCAAGTGCATACCTACTTGATTCTTGTCTTCCGTTAGGATTGAGCACTGGCGTTTTCGACGAGATGGCTTATTTCTCGACTTGTCTACCATTGTTGCTCATTGCTTAATTCATTTTCTTACATGGAATAAATATTTTAACCCTCGCCTGTATTGGTGTTTTTTCCAGCCGGGAACGTATAGGGGGGCGGGGGGTCTGTTGGAACCTTGCCGTTTCGGAAGTTTTGATCACAGATGATGTCTTCATGCATTTAGGCCAGGTCGGGTCAGGTCATCCAGTGGGGGTCCTGCCGGGTATTCGTAGTAGGTGGCAACCGCCTCTGACAGCTTCGTAACATGTTACGAAGGCACCAAAACTACTTCGTAAATGTTCATATGGTTGCTAAATTCGAATTCAGCTCCAAAAACTGACCTAGAAAAAAAAACTCGAAAAAGTGAACTGAGACCATCAAAAGTCAATGACCTGACCTGACCTTCAGGTGACCTTAACACCCATCCTAATGCATGGGGGCAACATCATATTACATGGTTGAACGCTTGTAACCACGAAAAGACTGCAAAAGCGCGGCTAATGCGAGCCGACATACGCCGAATCGCGATTCCGGCCAAACATGGTCTCGAAAAGTAGGTCACAGACTCACAGGTCAAAGTTCATTTGGGTCAGGATCATGAAATTTTCAGAGTACATAGTGTGAAATTGATCAACTCGAGGGCACTGAAAGTTTCGTCGCGATCGGCCGTTTTTTACGCGAGTTATTCGCAAAAAAGCGAAGGGGGTCCGTTCGCCCCCCCCCCCATACGGGCGAGGGTTCGCCAGACCTATCGAGTTTTCCACATACCCCGTCAGAGGGATGGTTGTTTGACTGGTTTGGCCCCATCGCCGTTTCGGGGCCCCTAATCGAGCGCCCCGCGGACCTCGCCGCGGACGAACACGAGCGTGTGTGCTGCTACGAGACGCAGCGACTGGTGCCCGAGTTTTATGTCCCATGTCCCCATGTCCCACGAGTTTTATGTTTTATGTCCGCTGTGACCATGGTGTCATCTCTGAAGGATCAGAGGGGACGTTGGGTGTTTGGGACCCAGGGAAAAGCTGGTCATTTTATTAGGGGATGGGGCGAATTAACCCGGCAGTTGCTGGGGTATTTCACCACCCAGTACCCACCGTTTGCTGGGGGGGGGGGGGCGTTAACCCGCGCGGGACTGGGGGGGTAAATTTTACCCCCCTCGCGAATTTTTGCAATATCTCAAAAACGGCGGCGCGCAGCGCCGCCAAACTTTCAGTACCTTTTCTTACATCAATTTGACACGTTCCCTGAAAAAAAAACGCAGCCGATAGCAAAACAAAACCTTCTGTAGCCTCGAGTTAACCCGCGCCCTGCTTGGGGGGGGGGGTTAACGCGAATATCTCAAAAACGGCGGCGCGGAGCGCCGCCGTTTTTGGTACACCTTATCATACATCAATTCTACACATGTTGTGAAAATTTCAGACCAGGGTCATTCAAGGTCAGGTCACCAGGTCACTTGAAGTGACCTCACCTCATAAAAAGTTTCAATGTCTGTCATAGCTACACCGAGTGACCGATCGCTTTGAAACTTTCAGCGATTGCTATGAGCAATAGCGTGTACAAAATGTATATCTCAGAATTTTGATGTCGATAACCAAAGGTCAGGTCAATTTTGCGACCTCCCCATTATAAGTCAATGGGAGAAAATTGAAATGCACCTCTTTTGGACGAAAGACATTATAAACACTCCCAAACACCGAATTACAAGTGGTTTAGACACACTGAACATGAAAATGGCGTCCGTGACCATTGTTTATGCCCTGAGGTCATCTTAGGTCACGAATGGTATCTAACAGTTTTTCGCAAATACCTTTTGATAGAGGCATGCTAGAGCGATGAAAACACCTTAGATGTGTTCAGATCGACGATACGGATCGACTGATATGCAACATGACCCTTTCCGGTCAGGTCATGACCTTGACCTGAGGTCAAATTTTCAAGTTGACCTTTCAAGGTCAAGTTATAGTTCATTCGATGCGTCTTGACGAGAGGAACACGATGCCGGTAAAAGTAAGCTCGTACAGGGCTTGGGTGAAAAGTTATTGCAGAAAAACTGTTTCCGAAAAAATCGGCTATTTTTGCAGTTTTTTCCCCCTGCAGGCAAAACCGTTGAAGTTAGGTCAAATCTGAGAGAATTACTCAGAAAGGGCGTTAATAGGGCTATCGAATGCGCTTTTCCGCGGCGCTGTAGCTCTATTGGTTCCCGAGTTATGCATTGGCTTCTTGGAAATTTTCGACATTCGACCTGGAAATCGGCGAAATTTTGCCTTCCATGACCTCTGGTGATCTGACCTTTGACCTGACCAAAAAATTGACCGAAGTGATTTCGTCATTATTTTTGACGCTCTTTCGAACGCCGCCTTCCGCGTATCGCTACGTGGCCCAGGAGCCGAGTTACAAGGGGGGGGTGTTCAAACACCCCCCCCCCCCAGCAGGGCGTGGAAATCCAGGACCCCCAGCCGGGCGCGGGTTAAGCACGTGTCACGTACCATGAAATATTCATGACACTGACTAGAGATGTCAATCGGATACCAACTTCTTGGTATACCGATACCAAACCGATACCAACTTGGTATTTGGTATTTCAATCGTAATGTGTTTGGTATTTTGTTGGTATCATAAACCCTCACTAATGTATAAGAGGCTTAGAAATCGGTAAAAAGTTGGTATTTCCCTAATTTTCCCAAGTTGGTTTGGTTTCGGTATTTTCCCGTGGTTTTGGTTGGTATTTGGTTTGGTATCGGTATTCCGATTTTCCGTATACAAAACCTTTGAACTGTCACGTGTTTCCCAACTCCCGGGGCCATGTCAGGCCGCGGAATCGCGATTCGGCGTTGGCTGGCACACATAAGCCGTTTTCACGACGGCTATCTCGTGCACATTTGGTGGGCAGTAGGTGCAGGTTTGGTCAAATTAGGTTCAGTGTGATTCATAAAAGTTATCCGTTTGGGTTGCACAGATGCTTTTACATGCCTTATTTTTTCAGTTCATTCGACATTATTTCCAAATAAAACACTGAAATAAATTCATGATATGAAGATATTTCTTTGATTTGATGCAGATTTGGTCATATTAGGTGCATTTGTCAAATAGCCGTCGTGAAAACGGCTGCTATCTGTGCGTTTTCAGATTTTTTTCTACGTATGATCCAAGTTATAAGGTTAGAACTTGTTGAGGTAACTCTTCTTCTAGGAAACCCCAGGGCCCAGTTTCATTATGTTTGAATAAGTTAAACCCCAGTTTAACAGTTAAATAATTGATGAAGAAATTCGTTCATGGCAAATGGTGAAGAATTGCCAAAATATCCATTGCCTATCGGATTCTATAACAGCGCGATCTGTGGGTCCGGGGTCGGCTTGGCACGACAGCTAGTGCTCTTAACCCACGAGCCGCTGGGGGGGGGGGGCATAAAGTTGCCCCCCCCCCTTTACGTTTTGTGAAATATCTCCGAAACCTGATGAGCTACGAACGTGAAACTTGGCATAGCTTCAAATGAATACCTAGGCAATGTTTGAGCAAAGTTTTGTGGTTGTAGCACCTAAGATGACGTCACAGTGACGTCATAAATTTTTGTCGTTTTCCGATATGGACCGTTTCTGGTGGCGCTGAGCATGAAACTCAACTGTAAATGAACTAGACAGCACCTGCTGTCATCCTAAAACATCTAACTACACTTCCATCTAGTTTCTGACCAATAATCGGCCCTTTATATTCGGTCCCATATATCTGATGTATCGTGAGGAATATGAGAGTCGCAAATCTATAATTTCACTTATGACGTCACTGTGACGTCATTTCAAATGGGATCGACACCAAATTTGGACACAACCTCGGCTAGGTATTCAGGAAGATGTGTGCAAAGTTTCGCTTCTCTATCTCTTCGCGTTGCGACGATATCGTCGCAGAAGTAAAGGGGGGGCAACTATATGCCCCCCCCCCCCCCCCCAGCGGCCGGCGGGTGGCGCGGAGGCCCAGCGGCCGCCGGGTTAATCGCACCGCCCTCTGGCGTAGGAATCTGAGGTAGATGTCACTGGGGTCGCGATGACGAGAGGCTTAGCAGTGATGGTGCGGCGGCCGTCAGCCAGAAGACGATATATTACTGAAGAAAACATACAGGGTGTCCCAGAATTGACCGAATTTCTACCCAAAAGTATGATTGCACTTGATGCTAATGACATAAGAGCATCATAGTTTTACAGTACATCCCTTAGGTACCTACCTATCGAGCTTGGAGGCTGTGTGCTTTTGGTAACCAGTCAGGGGCGGAGAATTGTCATTATCCCAGGGGGTGATTTTCCAGCACCTGGCGAATGGAAGCGTCGAATTCTTGCCTAGAAAAACCCATATAGGTACGCCTTCCCAACAGCATCACTCTCCTCGCGACTTACGCAAATCAGGTTGTGTCTCAGACGTAATTGAAGCAACCACGGCACTGGAGCACTATTATCAGTGGTGGCTCTTCCATTGAGGCACTTGGGGCAGTGCCTCACAAGCTTTTGGGTAAAAAACTTTTATTGAGTTGCTTCCTTTATTTAATTCATGGCTTAGGCCATAACGCTTCCATTCCTCGGCATAGCAATGCTGCCACCTTCGGTATTTACCATGCTACATAATAGTTGCCAATTTGGTGGCCTTATGCCTTTGTATGGGAGAATCAAGTCAGGCACAGCCTCAAAATAGCCAAGATCGAACTATTTTGATTTTAAATATGTAACTGTTGATATACGTTTAGTATTTTTTGTTAGAACTTACCGTGCTAGAAATGAAACATAATTTTATATGAAATAGTTCAGGGAATTGTCTTATGATGCCTTACTATTTTCTTAACCCGCGCCCTGATGGGGGGGCCATTTTGGCCTCCCCCTGTGGTTTTTCTTAAGTAGCGAGGAAAACGGCGGCGCGCAGCGCCGCCAAATTTCAGGTACATTACCGGGCATCAATTTGACACCTTCACACAAAATTTCAAGTCACAGGTCACCTAAGGTCAGGAGTTATTGAGGTCAAACTGAGGTCATGTTCGAGTAAAAATTAGCAAAAAACATGACATCTTGAAACGCTCACCAATTCTACAGTTAAGCAATTTTTA